AAAATAGCTACATTTAAAAAAAATTCTGGACACTGTATTAGGTACTTTATTTCTGGGGCAAAATTGAGGCTAAGCTAATTATGCCAGAGAGTAGTAATTCTAAACCCTACTAGATTTGAAGGAATCAAGGCCTTTATAATAATACTAACCTTCCTTAATTCAGACTGGTTAGGAATGGGGCACTGAGCCCATGGTGGAAGTTTTGGTCCCTGAACTGTTAAGAGGTGAAGAAGGAAACGGCAGCAGAAAATTAATGGGGACTTTAAAGAGTCAAATATATCTCCAAGATTTCAAGCTGGATGAGTGTGCAGCTTGAGAAAACACAATTAAAACTCTCAAGTGTAATTTTAGGAAGATTTTTGAGTTACAGAAGCAATTTTACTAGGAACACAAATGATAAATTCCAAAGGAAAGTCTGTGCTACTGTTTTGTACAATGCTGTAATCCTACCACTTAATGAACCCCATTGCATTCCAGGCACTGCGCTGGGTGCTATATATGAGTTACCTAATTTAAAACTTTCACAAATACTATGAAACTATATTATCATCACACACGAAAAAAACTGAAGGTCCAATTTTTTAAGAAAACTGTTCAATGAATAACAGGAGGAGAGCTTATGTATATGACCAAAAGATTTTCTCTCTAACAAGTAGGCTTCAAACCTATGAGAAAGCTTTGTTATTTCTTCCCAATGTTTTCTCTAAAATTTTTATAATAGGTTTCTGTATTTATTTCTCGTGAGCATTTTAATAAATACGATAGTTGAGATGCATTCAACAAGGACAGCTTTGCTATGTAGTTCCTCTAATTTTCTGCTCTTGCTATGTTCGTTCAATGTCGCTCACAAAATATTTATCAAAATTCTTTTAAAATCATTCTTAGATGTGCTACACTGTAAGAGAAATTAGCTTCAGAATAAACCTCACCACAAATAGAACAGGTCCATTCTAAAAGAAATTTCTATAAGCACTGGGTATCATATGTGCACAGCAAGAGCAATACAACCTCATTTTTTTTTGGATGAGTTCTAAAATATATCCTAAAGAGGAAAATATTTTTCAGAACATAGTAACTGTCCCCAAAAAGAACATTAATATGGAGGAAAAGAAGGAAAGTCACATCACTTTTAAAGTAAAGGTTAAAAGGGAGGGGTCATGGAAACCACATGAAGTTTAAATGTTAGAGGCCCCAGTTAGGAGGAATACTAGTGGGAAAGCCTTCTCTCTTACCTGGCCTGAAGCAAGGGGAAAAAGGGAACTATTTATTGCCCTATAAGAAAAAAAAATCTACCTCTAGCACTATATTATACATATATATATATATATATATATATATATATATTTTTTTTTTTTTGAGACTGAGTCTCGCTCTGTCACCCAGGCTGGAGTGCAGTGGCGCAATCCTGGCTCACTGCAACCTCCGCCTCCTGGGTTCAAATAATTCTGCCTCAGCCTCCTGAGTAGCTGGGATTACAGGCATGCAACACCATGCCTGGATTTTTTTTTTTTTTTTTTTTTTTTGTATTTTTAGTAGAGATAGGGTTTCACTGTATTGGCCAGGCTGGTCTTTAACTCCTGACCTTGTGATCTGCCTGCCTTGGCCTCCCAAAGTGCTGGGATTACAGGTGTGAGCCCCTGCGCCTGGTCCACCTCTAGCACTCTTCAAGATAGTCCCAGGAGCCACAGTAGAATTCAGGTCCTAATCAGAAACAGAAGATGTTCAAGCCTCGCCTTGCGGGGAGTTAGTAATGCTGTCAGTTGCCACATGGACAATTTGAACACTCCTGAAACCATTTTGGAAGGGAATATGAAGGAGATGGGGTTTTAGGAGTAAGTGGAGAATACTACATGATAGAAAATATAAAGGTTTTCACTGAGATACAAATTCCTTAAATTTTACTCAGTGGGTGAGTTGTGGAAAACACGTGATAAGCTCTCTCTTTCATCAGTATGAAAGTCATTATAAAGAGTTCTCAACTGACTAGACCTCTGGCATACTTTCCTAAAAAGATAGGTCTAATAAATTAATTTCCAGTAAAGAAATATTGGGACTGTTGAATTACATATGTATGAGAGATCTACAACCTTTGTATGCTATAATCTCTTAAACTCATTGAACTCCAGTGAGTATTTTCCAAATATTAATACTTTAAGTTATTAATAGTTTCAATATTCAGGAGATTACTCTTCAGAAACAGCTTAGCTGTTGATTGGAAAATGTTCTTCTTCGCTATTACACTTCAAAACAGACAACAAAGGGAAAAACTGCACCTTTCTCTAAGATTTGGTTCTCAGATATTGCAGGTTCTACCCTTGAGGTTATGGTAAACAAGCTATGGGCACAGTCCAGGATACAAAGGTTTTAAAAACTCATTAAAATAGAATAAGGCATCACCCATAGTGATGAAAGAAGAAAACCAGGAGAAAGAATCATTGCCAAGACAGGAGTGTTGCATCTGAGTTTCAGGATATTAATAACAAACGTTTTTGGGTAGATGCTAGGTGGTATGCTAAGCTCTATTTTTAATATTAAAATTTATATTATAAAATATTTTGAACTTATAGAAGAGATGCACAGAATCTCTTGTTCATTTGGAGCTTTAAGAGATGCACAGAGTAAGAGATGGGATAGACCACTGAAATTTAAGATGCTAAACTTGTCAGTTTTGCTTAATAGCCACCACTTTTAAAGACATAAAACATTATTCAGCTAAAGCCCACTCCTCATCCCATCTTTTTCCTTTCCTCCTATCCTGATTTTTCATGCTATTATTCACATCCTATTTTGTTTTTTACTATAGCCAAATTCACACAATTTGCATTTTCACCAAATATTAATATTTTGATATTTACCCATAATGATACATGTGGACCTGGCTGATTCATGTTAGCTTCTACACTGAGCTTTACCATAGGAGTAAATCTCAGTTCATTCACTCCAGGTTTTAAACATTCAAAGAGTGCTTTACTGATCAAAGTTGTGCATATCACCTGTGAACATGTGCAAATTTCTCTAAGTCCATTCCTTGAAATGGAATTTCCGGGTCGTAAAGTATGTACCCTCCAACTTTACTAGGCATTGTTAAAATTATTTCCAAAATGATTGTATCAATTTATACATCTGCCAGAAATATAAGTCCTCTGCTCGTTTTTTTTTTTCTGGTTTTTCTTTCTTACTGATTTTTAAGCATTCTTTTGGAAGTCATTTCAATGTAAATATATTCTTCCAATTTATAACTTGAAATTTCACTTTGTTAAGTGACTTTTGTCATAAAAATACCTTAATAATAATGTGGAAATTTTTATCAGCACTTTCCTTGTAAGTTTGTGCTTTTTGTCTTAATATGGCGTTCTCGACACCAATGTGGTGAATACATTTCTTCATTTTCTTGTTTAAAAATTTCCTCTTCACATTTACATCTTCAAACCATCTGGAATACATTTTTGTGTATACTGTTATGGAATCTCACTTTATCTTTTAACAGTTGGTTTTTTTTTTTTTTTTTTTTTTTTGGAAGTTCATTTTGCCACCAATAACTTTTAAAACTACCGCTGTCATACATTGTGACAGACGTGGACTTGTATCTAGGATAACAGTTTTGGTCTATTGGTCTGCCTATCCTTGTTTGTTGATATCATACACTTAAATTGCTAGAGCTTTATAATAAGTCTTGGTGTCTGTAGGATGACTCCTTCCTAACAGCTGTTTTTCTGAATCGATTTGGCTTTTCTTGCTCTTTAATCCACCATGCAAATTTGAGGATTAGCTATATCTCCCATTAATGTCTCTTTTCTAAATATTTGTTTCTTAATAATTTGTTGGTGGTGAAATGAAGCTATTGATTTTTTTGGTTTTGTGGTTGGTTTACCAAATCTTTTATTATTCCATCGTTGATCAACACAAATGTTATTAGGAAAGAGGGGAGGGGAGCTGTGTGAAAAAAATCATGTGACTTCATTTAAAGTTGTATTGGTTTTCCAAATTAATTGATGAGGCTGAGAATAGCTATAATAAAGTCTTCCCAACCATGAGCATATCAGTCTCCACTTACAGTTCTTCTATGTCCTTTAATAAAGATTAATAATTCTTCCATAAAGATCTTACACATTTTTGCTAGATTAATCCCTGGATCATTTTTGAACTACTTCTTGCATTTGGTCTTCTGAGCCACTAGTGTGTACTCTCCTTTAATGCGCCTATTATTTTGTCAAAAAATGATATTTTTAAGAGCTGTGTATGTGAATGTGTTGCATTCAGATCCCTTTAAGTACTTTTTGTTGTTGTTCACTTGTTCATCTGCTTCCTCCAGCAATTATTACACTGAACATGGCTTCTAATCGTTAACCTGATCCTTCTTTCTCTGGTTGCTAGAGTCCCTTGACTGCACAATTACCCTTCTCACAGATAAACTGGGAAATCCACAGGTGCTGAATGGAAAATATGTTTGTTTAAAAGAGGAAACGTGCTCCTCCTGACACATCTTCGAGACTTTTTTTCTGCTCAAGCCCTTCTCCCCACCTTAAAACTAAGAAACAATCCATTCAATCCTGCCTTTTGTGGACAGGAAGACCAGCCCCTTCATGCCAGTTTGAGATCCTCAGAGGCTGAAATGCCAAGCTCTTTCAGGGATTCTCTGGCCTTTGCTCCTGAGCTCTTTTGATTCCTTCACCCCTAAAGGAAGCAGCTCAATTCTCTCCACAGAACTCAGTGGCTGGCTCTAGAGCCAAGGGCAAGTGGCTTGGAATTAGGAATGGAAACCATTATGGTCCCCAAATCCACCATTGGTTTATTTTCTATTTGTTTCTTAGTAATTAGTTGGTGGTGAAAATAAATGCTATCAATTGAAGAATTTGGGGTTTGCTTGTTTTCAGCAGCTTTGTGGTTGGTTGGCCAAATCTTTAATACAGTATTCCACTCTTGTTCAAAACATAAATACTACTTTTGGGAGAGAACAGGTGATCCTGTAGATCCCCAAAGAAAAGGCAAAGGCAAAATAGGGCCAACATTATCCATTTGCTTCTCAAATTTACTGAATGAATATAAACATTTGATTTAAATCATTTGTGTTGTTACTGCGGTTTGTTTGGTTTTTAATACTGGGAACACAGAGATTTCAGTTTGAAAGATATCTTGAAATCTTAAGAGTAGCATACAACAATCCCTCCCATTCGCCACCCAAAATCTAGTTGCTTTAAATGAGCAGAATGATCCATTTTTCCATCTTAGGTGAGCGGATGTTTACGAAATATCTTAGAACTGTTTGCCTCGTTTATCGGGAAAAATGACAAGGGAAGAAGCCATTAACCGAGGTTCTACTTGTAAATATAAGAAGACTAGCACTCAGGTTCATAGACTTTTAACATGAGCTTGTTGAAAGAAACGTTAACAACTCCAAAACTAAATGAATGTTAAGATTTTGCTCCGAAAAACATAAAAATGGAGAAGATTTTAACAGAAAATTTTTAAAGCGTAAGAACAACTCTTCCTTGGGTAGTTACTAGTCCTTGGGTAGTTATCACAACAGATTCTTCTTTTTGTTAGTTTCTTCGAAAAGGGACTTTCGCTTCCAAGTCAGTTCCCGCTTAGTATCGGCTCCGGCCTCCCCCTCTCTCCAAGCGGCCTCCTGGACGGCCTCCGCCCCTGGGCACCCTGCGGCCCGACCGGCTGTAGGAATCACGCGGCGGAGGGCAGCCCCTCTCCACGGACAGAGGGGGCCCCCGGTCCGGCCTGCCCACGCGGTCTCGGCCCCGCGAGTAGCGCTCGCTCCGGCTGTAAGTGCTGCTGTAGCTGTCGCGGCCGCCGCTGTAGGCGTCGGGCGAGCAGCCCCGGTACTCGTCGTAGCGGCCTCCTCCTCCGTAGGACGGCGGGGTCCCCCGGCCCGGCGCGGCGCCGCGCAGGTCTCCGTAGCTCTCGAAGGGCTCGCGGTAGGAGCCCGCGCTCAGGTGGTCCCCGTAGTCGCGGTCGCGGCCCCCGTAGCCGTCTCGGTCGCCGTAGCCTCTCACGGGGCCGTCGTCCCGCGCGCCGGAGTGGCCGTAGCTGCGGTGGCCGTACTCGCGGGGCGAGGGGGCAAAGCCCCGCGGGTCGCGGTAGTCGCGGCTGGAGTAGCCCTCTCTGGACGAGTAGCCCTCCTCCCGCGGGCCCAGGTAGGGCGCGCGGCGCGGCGGCGGCGGCTCCCGGCGCGGCGGGCCCGAGTAGCCGTCCCGCCCCCGCGCGGCCGGGGCCCTCCCGCGCACGCCGCCGCCGCTGCCGCTGCGAGCCAGGCCCGAGGGCGCGGCCCTCTTGGGCGGCGGGCCGGCCCTGCGCGGCGGCGGCGGCGGCCCGCGCTTCATGGGCATCGGGGCCCTGGAGGGCCGCGGGTCGAACTCCCCCGGGTAGTCGCCGTCGTCATCGGGCCCGCCCCGGGAGGGGGGTCCGCGCGGGCCGCCGCCGCCGCCGCCCCCGTGGGTCCCGCGCAGGAACCTCGGGCGACCGCGGCTGCGAGGGGGCGGCGGGCCGCGCCGGCCGCTCTCGAACGCCGGCTTGGTGGCCTGGGCCACCTTGATGGCCTTACCATCCAGGGACTTGCCGTTCATGTCTCTGGCGGCGGCCTTGGCGTCTGCGGGGCTCTCGAAGGTCACGAAGGCGAAGCCCCTCGACTTGCTGGTCTCTCGGTCTTTCATCAGGAGCACCTCGACGATGCGGCCGTACTTGCCAAACTCAGCCTCGAGGGCCTTCTCGTCGGTTTCGAGGTTGAGGCCCCCAATGAACAGCTTTCCTGGGCGGTCCGCTTCAACCATGGCTGCGGGTCAAACGGTCGCTCGGCGGCGGCGGGCGGGCACGCTCCGGGCGGCTGGCTCCCACCGGTCGGGCGGCGCGAGTGGCGGAGGCTCCGGAACCAGAGCGCGGCGTGGCTCCCGGGCGCGCCCCCTCCCCCCGGCCTGTGATTGGCCGGCCGGGCAGGTCCGCCGTCGGGAAGATTGGCAGTTCCGTGTCTCCCTTCGGTCTTTAACTTCCTGCTCCCCTAACCCGGGCTTAACGGCTTTCGTGGCTCTCCGAAAGCTCTGGGGCTCCAGGAAAAGCCGTTAGGTGGGAAAAAACTTTTTCTATTACTTTTTATGAGAAGAAGGATAATGAACCCAACCTAAGTTGCCCAAACTATTTTTAAACAGAAAAAAAAAGTATGAAATTTTAAAATTACTACATTAAGTTAAAAAAATCAATTTTCAATTATTGAAAAACAGAGTAACAGTTTGCAAGTTTAAAAATGGCGTTTGTACATAAAATTAATATAAAATGTTTGTGCACTTGCTAAAGGGGAAGAGAAGACTCTAGTTGGGAGTTGGTTGGCGGAGGCCAAAGGAGAGAGCCTTTTTGGATGCACCATTTTTTCCCCCTTCTGCTGTGTTTTCTTCAGTTTTTCAACCCTCAACATATTGTATTCAAACTGCCGTTTTTAAAAAGGGTGTAGCACAGAAAGTCACCTTTAGGCAAAACATGAGAGCATTTGCACAGTCATCAAAGTAGCCCCTGAGCAAGCATAACAAGCAAGCCTTTACTCCTTCACCCCAGCGTGCTTTCTTGGAAAGAAGTAGTAAGTACACTTTGGCATAGCACAACCTTCTGGGTTCCTCCAAGCAAATTACGTAATTCAAGTTTGTTCCATACGATATTCTCTGAATAGAGAAGTAAGCATGAAAAGTAAATTAATGAGCTTATCTTTGCTTGAAATAGTAATATCTAAAACCCATTTTTCTTTACTGTATTGATTTAATGTGGTTAGGGGCTATTTATTCAAAAATGGTATACATTTTTCAAAGGCTATGATGAAAAGTTACCACAGTCATGAGAAGTCTATATAACACATATATATTATATTGGTTTATTGCAGTAGGTGTATAAATTTGAAAGAGTTTGTGAAGGCAGGCATTTTTATGTTATTTCTGACTTTAGTGGAAACAATTTTAAAGTGTTAGAATTTTTTTTAGCATGCCAGAATGGAAGTTAAACGCATCACATCCGTTCATGTGATGAAATATAGTAACAGACTTTTATTGTTAAAATATTGCATTTCCAAGGAATGTATTCATTTTCTAAAAATTGATAAATTTTGTTTGCTCATGTTTTATTTACAAACACCATTTGGGCTTGTGTTTTAAGTATATTTTAACTAACTAATGATTCAATTTCTTTTAGTTTTGAGTCTATCCAGATTTTTAATAATTTTCTCTTGACTTTTTTCAAGATACACATTCCTAAGAATGTATTTATTTTGTTTACATTTTCAAATTTATTTTATCTATAGCTGTGCCTTGTTTTGTTTTCTCTTTTTTTGTGACTAGTCTTGCTAGAAGTTTTCTTTCTTCTTTATATTGCTAATCTTTTTAAAATAATTTTATATGGTGCTATTGTCTATTTTCTTTCTACATTTATTGGATTTGTAGTTTAAATCATTTTTTTCTAATTTTTTACATAAGGCACTTAACACATTAAGGGTTTAAAAATGTTGCTTCTAATTGTTATATTTAAGTTTAAAATTTATTCTCTAAGTACTGGTTAATATCATGCCTTGAGCTGTAATACATGTTGTTTTCATTTTTGATCAGTTCCTAAGATTTTCTTATTTTTATTATTTCTTTTTTGGTTCATAAATTATAAAGAAGTATGTTTGCAAATTTTCAAACATATGTGCCTTTTCGTTATTTTTTAATATGCTCTGTACGAGATCCATTGTTTTCCATTGAGACTTACTTTGTGACCTAAATATGGTATAATTAATGTTCCATATATACTGAGCAGAAATGGTATGCTCTAAATGTTGGATGAAGTTCTTTCTTATTTTGTAATATTTAAATCTTCCCCTTTCTAACTTATTTTTTATTTGATAGAATTGGCAAACACTAGAATGCTCTTAAAATTTCTCATAATTGTGGATTTGTAAATTTCTCTTTGTGTTTATGTCTGGATTTTGCTTCATGTAATTTAAGGTAATATGGTGAGATATATAAAAAAAATGAGAATTGCTATGGATTTCTGGTAAATACATTTTTTATGTAATGATCATTATTCATAAAAACCTTTTTATCTTAGTCTGTTTTGTGCGATGCTTATATCTTTCAGTGCTTTTGCAATTTCTTCCTAAATCTTTGCCATCAACCATGCCTTTCTTTTTTTCATCCTTCTTCCCTTTTTCGGTAGTCATTTGTCTTTGTTTCTTTTTCCTCTACTATGAAGAAGTTATGCCTTCTATTTGTATTTTTTTTGAAAGACTGCCCTTAATGTTTTTATTGAATGCTAACTTAAAAATGCTGTTTGTAAATTTACTTATAAAATCAAGTTTACTGCTTAATTTTTACATCTGTGTATATCCATGTAACCATGATGTACATCAAAATCTATAACACTTCCATGATTCCAGAGGGTTCAATTGTGCCATTTATTAATGAAACCTAACTGAAATCTGCTCTCCTGGCACAATAAGACCAGATATGCATACTGAGGTTTGCAGCAGGAAAAAGGAGGGCATTTATTTGCAGAGCTCCAAGCAAGGAAGACCAGTCAGCTACTCTTAAATTCTGACCTCTCAATGGCTTGCAGGTAAAGGTTTTTTTAAAGGAAAAATGTAAATTTCAGTAAAGCAGAAGTTACAGGCAAAATCATAAGTCAATACATGGAGGCTACATATTGGTATTGGCCCAAAAGGAAGAAATCTCTTGAAGTGGGGGTCTCCCAGGTCAGAGGTAGATTTAAAGATTTTCTGATTTGCAGTTGGTGAAGGAAGAGAATTTGCAGTCAGCAGAAAGGAATGAGTTTTGGCTCCTGGGTGGGACTCCCTCTAGGCCCCTCAGGAAGAAATTTAGAATAAAGAAGGGTTGCCAGAGTTGAGTTACCAGTCCCTCTTATCTGAGGTCTACCTAGCCATGGAATTTTTTGGTGGGATCTGGATTTCTGAAAGACAACTCAGGGACATATGTTAAGATGTTATATTTAGTGTCTACAGGGGAACAAAAAAATCTCCTGACTCTAACTTCCATAGTTATTGTTTTAAGTTCCTATTACTTTCTTGCTTATCAAGTTCCTTATTCATTTAAGAAATTTGATGAAGTTCCTTAACTTCATTTCTCAGGGCTAGCTAGATGCCTGGAATTTCTCTTACAAGAACTCTAGATTTTCCTTTATTTCCATTTTTGTGGGAGAGGGGTTGCACAGGCCCCTAAAACAGGGTCTCTGTTCTGCACAAAAATGATATAGAATCAAGATCAAAGTTTGGGCAAAAATTGGAATGCTTGCATAGGCTTTATGTGAAATGATTGTGTCTCTTTTACCTGAAGATATTTTGCATGTATTTTGGGAATGGATATTGTGTCTGACTGGGGAATGTTTCCCTACCTAGTACTATAAAACACAAGTTATATAAATTCCGCCTTTAAGCAATAGTACTTATATTTGCTAAACAGAAAGGAGTAAGTTTGTCCAAGCCTACACAGCATAGAATAAAACTTGAAGTACTAGAAAGGACAAATTATCTGTTCAGGGGACCTGTGCAGAGGGTAGATTGGGGCTTGTGGCAAAAGCCTGGGGGGGCCTCCCAGAACAACTACAGGGACTTTGAAGTAGAGAATTTACATCTGAGGCAATTACTAGCTCAATCGTGGACATTAATTGAACCCACCCCGTGACTAAAGAAAATGTAATAATCTTATTATCTTACATCAATTAGGATAGTTATTGTCAAAAGCACAAAAAGAGTAAGTGTTGGTGATGATGTGGAGAAACTGGAACCCCTGTTTACTGGTGGTGGGAATATAAAATGGTATAGCCACTACTAAAAACAGTATGACAGTTCTTAAAAAATTAGGAATAGAATTACCATAGGATTCAACACCCTACTTATAGATATTTAACCAAAAGATTTGAAAGCAGGTTCTTAGATATTTGTACACCCACACTCATAGCAACAATATTCACAATAGCCAAGAAGTGGGAATAATGCAAGTGTCCACTGACAGATAATTTAAAAATGTAGCATAGTCAGCCCTCCATATCTGTGAGTTCCACATCCATGGATTCAGCCACCTGAGGATCAAAAATATTTGACAAAACACTGTATATGTACTGAACATGTACAGACTTCATTTCCTTGTCACTATAAAAAATATAAATACCTTATAAAAACTATAAACAATACCTTATAAAAATTATTTCCATAAACAATACCTTATAAAAACTATTTCTGTAGCATCCATGTTGTATTAGGTATTATCAGTAGTCTAAAGACTTAGCATCCCTGGTATTCTTGGTGGTCCTGGGACCAATTCATCATAAATAGCAAGAAACTATTCTATATACATACAATGAAATATTATTTAGCTTTAAGGAAGGAAATTCTGACATAGACTACTCATGGATGAACCTCAAGGACATTATGCTAAGTGAAATAAATCAGTCACAAAAAGACAAATACTGTATGATTTTACTTATATGAGGTATTATCTAGTTAAACTCAGGGAGACAGAAAGTAGAACATCATTGCCAGGGACTAGAGGGAGGGGAAAATGAAGAGCTGCTGTTTAATGAGTATAGAATTTCAGTTTTGCAAGATGAAAAAGTTCTGGGGATCGGTTGCACAACAATATGAAAACACTTAACAGTATTAAACTGGTTAAGATGGTGAACACAATGCTTTATGTATTTTACCACAATAAATATGAATACACCTAACACTACCAAACTGATCAAGATGGTGAACACAATGTTGTATGTATTTTACTACAGATTAAATTTTATTTAAATATAGTTTTTCCCACACCAACCAACTCTCCAGCTCCTGGACACCAACAGGGTGTCCTATAATTCAATTTTGACCCTAACTACCTGAATTATTGCAAA